TATTGTGTGTTGAAGCTTTTCCTATTGACTAAGTGGATGAGAATACCATATTTCTTTGGTTACGGAAATACATTGTTCACTCACTGATTTTCAAGTTTGAAAAATTTCACCTAGGATACTATTATCTGAAGAGTTATGGCCTGGAATTGTGCTTAGATGATAATTCGCAATCATCTTTAGAATCTAGACAAGAGTGCTGCTCTGTTTCTTGGCAATCATCTTCTGATTCACCTAACAATTGGGAAATGTTTTCCCCTGCCAATTTTTCCTCTTTGTCATTATGGCCAGTAAGCAAAACTTCTGAATTCTCAACTGTGTTCAATAAATGCTATAAGAAGATTTCAAATAAGGCGTCTCCTTTCTTCTTTTGTGCTTTCTTGAAAAATGATACAATCCTTTGGGCAACACGATAAGAAAACTAAAGAATAACGCGACAGTGATATTTTACTTCACTATTCATCTTCCTTCTAGGTGACGCTGTATTTCCCACTCTCTTATTATTTTAATCTGTTTTTAGTATCATTAGGCATAACTGATAAGTCTTGATAAAATAAAACCTAGGATAATAAAATGGCAAAACATTTCAAGATAAAGGAAAAATAAGATTACTAACATCTCATAACGTATCTTAGACTTACAAAAGGGTCTAATGGACTCTTATGGTATTTGTGACATAGAATGAGTCCTTTGTTTTTGGAAGGCTGCTAAGAAAGAATGAAAGCCACGAAGTATCAAGCCATACAAATGAAATTGCTCCAAAAAGAAACTCAAAAATTAAAATTGGTTGTAGGCCGACAGTTAATCTTAATACTATTGTGCAAGAATATTCTCTGCAGGGGTGCCCTGGTCTCATTCTTCTGCCAGCAGAACAGAGGGTTCCTCAAGGTCTATGTCTCTACCAGCACTGCACATTATCCAGGTTTCCTAATTTTTGCAAGCATATTAGGTGTAAAGTGATATTCATATAGTTATTTTCACTGGATTTTTTTCTTATTACTAATGATTTTAGGCATTTGTTTACATCTGTTAACACTTGGAGTACTGATTTTTATTAGTTGCCTGTTCCCAGCCTTTTTTCCAAGGAAGCTTTTAAGAAATACTGAGGCTCTAGTGAATCAGAATTTCTGCAGGTGGAGCAGGTATCAGTATGTTTTTTAGTTTCTAAGTGAGATTCTACTGTGCAGCCAGGGTTGAGAATCACTTTGTGGTCTGGGCTACTGCTCCTCCTTTGACTACTCTCCAAATTCCCTATCACCCCCACTCACTCCACTCTTGCTACACACGGTCATGCTGTGTCTCTAACACCAGCATTCACCTGCCACTGGCCCTTTGCACTGGCTGCTCCTTTTATTTGGAGTCATCTCTCAGAGGTCCAACTGACTTGCTCTTTCTTCCAAGGCTCTGACTCTCCTTCCCAATATAACAAAGCATTTCTCCAAAAACCTCCAGTGTCAAACACTGTTCTTGCTTTTATTTGTCTCCTTGCCACCAAAATGTAAACACAAAAGCTGAGAATTTGCTTGTTCTGTTCGCTGTTGTAGCTCCACCCTTAGACAGAAGACACTCAATATTTACTAAATGAATAATTTCGAATGAAAAAGGCAGAACTTGGAGTAGCTATAAATCATAACTAAATGTATTCTACAAAATATGAAAACAATATATAAATTGTGTATAAATCACAGCAGCATCCTCCATTTGCTTCAGGCCCATAGAAAAACTGATACTGAAAACAGTAGGCAGACTTCCACTGAAGTAAGGAACTTCCTTCTGCCCCTCATTTTTGTGTGCATTCTTACAGGAAATTCTCCAGACCACTAACTTCTCTAGGCAAATGCTCACTAAGAAGCAGGAATAGGGCAGATGGCAAAAGCTGGACAATAATTTTCTTTTTTTTTCTTTTTTTGACCAGTAAGGGGATCATAACCCTTGGCTTGGTGTCACCTGCACCGCGCTCAGCCAGTGAGCGCACCAGACATCCCTATGTAGGATCTGAACCCGCGGCCTCAGCGTTCCCAGCCCCGCTGCGCTCCCAGTGCAGCACTCTCCCGAGTGAGCCACAGGGTCGGCCCTGGACAATAATTTTCTAAAGATCAGAGATGCTGATGATGACAGATTCTGAACCTTCATTATGCCTTCTCCTCTCCCTTCATCTCCCAACTGCTTTCATTCCAATGGCTTGGTCATGAAATCCATCTCTCCAATCAGCACTCTCCCGAGTGAGCCACAGGGTCGGCCCTGGACAATAATTTTCTAAAGATCAGAGATGCTGATGACAGATTCTGAACCTTCATTATGCCTTCTCCCCTCCCTTCATCTCCCAACTGCTTTCATTCCAATGGCTTGGTCATGAAATCCATCTCTCCAATTCTGTTCTCATTACTGCATTTATTCTACTCCTGTATGAACCTTCCCGTAGGCAAGAGAAATGGGTATTTCAATAGCTACACCACTTTGGGCTGTTCTGGCCAAGTGTGGCATAAGGTGCCAGGAAGCAACACGAAGCAAAGTCTCAGCTCTGCCATTTGCAGGCTCTGAGACCTTGAACCAATTATCGCACCTCTCTGCCCTTCGGTTCTCACGTCTGTGTGAGAAGCCAGTTGGAACAGATGATTTGAAAGGTCCTGTTTCCAAATATGTCTTGGAAGATAAACACAATAAAGGTGACCATATAATGTTTGGTAATTTAAAGTTTCTTAAGGGAAGGGATTATTTTGCTTTTAAAATAATTGTAGTAAATACTCATTACCAAGAGAGTGTGAACATTCACCTCTGTGTAACACTATTTGTTTGTTTCATATAGTTTCCACTTACCAACACAACCCACACCAGTGGGGTTCAACTGAAAATCAGGTGGGCAGTTACACTCATAGCGACCAGGTGTGTTGACACATAGGCCATTGACACAGTTTATGGGATCTGCACACTCATCAATGTCTAGAAGAAGCATTTAAAATGCCAATGTTAACATCTTTACTTTCTCAACATATACTGCTGTTCTAAAGAATTTAGTAGATTTTTTGTAAGTCAGTAGGCTAAAGATCATTACGAAGGACTCAGCACAATAAAATAAAAATCTTAAATCCCTGTATATACCTAAAACAGGTTCCATGTATCAAGCACACGGTATTTATGACAATGTCATTTAACATCCTTAATAGATAAATAGAAATTAAATGTTGCAATCCTGAAGAAAAAAGTTGCTATTTGTTTAACTAAAATTATATACACGTACACATGTATGTGTACATATATATGCACATACATAGACACAAGGAGATACTTTAGTAGTTTCATGTTAAGCATTTAATATTGCTGTTTACACAAAAATGGATTAAATTCCATAATTAAAAATAAATGTATCAGAATGTAACTTTATTTTTAAGAAAAATGCATAATCCAATACATAGACTAGCTAAGCAGAAACTTAAGGAATTTTAATGCTTAGTATAGAATATTCATTTCAGGTAATCAGAACACAATGAGCTCTTCACTGGCCATACCTGTACAGTTCCCTCCTGTTCTGTCCAGTTCATAACCATCATCGCAGATACAATGAAACATTCCAGGCAAATTATTACATGTTCCAAATACACAAATATTTTGGAAGGAGCATTCATCAATATCTGAAGAGTTAAAAAAAACAGTAATCTCTTATTTACAAAAACATTTTAAAACTTTGATTTAATGTACAACATTAATGAATTTTTCTAACTCCTCTAATGTTTTTATGCAGTAAAAAATTTTCTTTTTCTTTATCTAGGTAGGTATCACAAATGGCAAACAACTAATGTTAATCTGTGGAACTAATATATAAAAGAAATATTGTTTTCTTGGAGTATCTTGGATTGTACTATATACTCAAGAAAGAGTTGGCTGAAGGCATAAATAATACAAAAATAAAATGTAAACGTACAAAAAAATAAAATTGTAAAAAATTAAAGATAAACTCAAAGATTCTAATAAATTAGTGCAAACTGGATGTTTTATAATTGGCAAATTAAAACAAAAATATATAACAATTGTTAAATGTTAAAGATATTAAAATTAAGTTTAACTTTAAAAAAGTTTTTGCTTCTTTTTATTCTATAATCTGGTCTGTTATCATAAAGTCAGTTATAAACAGGAAAAGAATTTTTTTCTTAACACCATGTAATAAGATGGTCTATTGCCCTAACATTCTTACAAATTTCATAAACATATCTCTATTGACTTAAAGTCAGAAATTCAGCTTATGAAACACTTGCATGAGACATTAACTCAAGGTCAATAAATCTGAAGTTATCACTTCTCACTGATATGAAAATGAATATATATGTATATATACAGCTGTGGAAATAATCTGTATGTCTACTCATAAAAAGAGGATGGACATTTTTGCACATAAATTGCCTAATATTCTGAGTATGCCAACAAGGCACAACATTTTAGGCTAGAATAGACAGGTCATCTTAAATTTCTGTCTTAAGACAGTGATATCTTAAAGTCTAAAGGGGTCTTTGGTCATTTGTGATAGTTAATATAATTAGTTTCAACCACCTTAGATTGAAGGTATGGTTCAAATCATGTTTAAAAGTTCAGCTGATATGCAAAGGTGTCTTTTCTCACATCAGGGTAATAAAATTATTATCTCTATATATATGAGCAAAGATTCATTAAACTAAATTATAGTTAAATAGTGTTAAACTATAAGTGAAAATGCAGTTGTATTATCAACCCTCTGAGTATGCATTTTACTTTTAAATGACCTTTATTAGAGCTGGCTGGTTAGCTCAATTGGTTAGAGCATGGTGTTGTAATCGGAAAGGTTTAGATGGAGTCTCCTAATTCCCTTCTTTATCAGGATTTTATTTGGAAGACAGGTTGGGGTCTGGGTTTCATTAAAGCTTCTATCCAGTAGCCCCAAGTTTGATAAATTGGGGGAAGAGGGAAACATGGATGGGAAGAGCTCCATTGGGGCTCCGTGTACTCTTTGTTCGTGAGCCTGGCCTTGGCTCTTTCTTTAGACACTATACTAACTGGTCTGTACCCAGGTTCATACCACTTAATGAAATCCTGTCTTGTTCCTGGAGGTTCCTTCAGGTTTTGTATTCCCCCATTTTGGTGGAGAATACTGGGAAATGGCCAACTCCAGTAATTTTTTGGATTCCATAGAATTCTGAAAATTTGTGGTGAGAAGTAGATGCTGGGTGAAAAATGTTGACCTGAGGGTCAGTTCAGAGGGGTATATGTTTATAATGAGATGGGAAAACAGAAAAGAATTCAATTAGTAAATTCAGGAGAAACTGTCCAGTTGAGCCAGATGTTCTGGAATGAGAGAGGACAAAAACAAGGAGAAACAAGGTGCAGAAAATGACCTTGTGCTTTTGGAGGCCAGTGAAATAAAATCATATTGCACCCCCCCAAAAAACAAGGAGAGGGCCGGCCCGGTGGCGCACAGCTACAGTGCGCCGCTTGGGAGCGCAGTGGCGCTCCCGCCGAGGGTTCGGACCCCACATACAGACCGGTTCCCGCTCACTGGCTGAGTGAGGTGTGTAAGCAACACCGAGGGTTGCAATCCCATTGCCAGTCCCGGTCCGGTACGGGCACGACACTGAGGGTTGCGATCCGTTACCGGACACGAAAAAAGCCAAAAAAAAAAAAACAAGGAGAAACAGGCAGAACCATGGAATTATACTTTCGAGATCTCAAAAGTTGGTATTCATCTAACATGGAGCAGAGGGTCTAACTGAGGGTGAACTATGTGTCTGGGACTTCTCTCCGTGGTAATGACTTATGAGAAAGCTAACGTGTGAAGGAAGTACAGTACACAGTCACTATTTAGCCACCTGGGGTGGAGGCTGGGGAGAAGTTTGGGAAGGGCCTATGCCACAGACAAAGGAATAAAATTATGAGGTGGAAATTCTGTCTAGGTATAAAGAATTTGTTGGCAAAACGTCTGGCTACTGCTGACTTGTTCCTTTTCCCACTAACTCTTGTCAAGCTGATGAAGACAATAAATCATGCAATTCCATATCCACACTGAATCACATTTTCTACTAATTGGCTTCAGTGCCTAGAAGAAAGCTAGACTGGAAAAAAAATGAAGCTCACTCTACAGTTGCCTTGTATAAAATAGATTAGATTCTGCCCAATCTGGCAAGTCAACATAGAAGCAGGAATACTTTCAGCTTCTAGTATCACCTTCCGATTCTCTCCAAATTGGTGGAAATTTATGGTAAATCTCATGATCTTTCTTCAGTGCCACTACTGGTGGTGAGGCAGAGTTAGACTCTACTCTGACCAACCCCAAATTGTATAATTTACTTTTGTTTGGTTGACGCTGATGAAATACGTGTGTGTGTGTGTTTGTGTGTGCGCGCGCGCACACGCTGGTACTTACCATTTCTGTTCATTTGGTTAGACATTAGTGTAGAGGGAATNTATAATTTACTTTTGTTTGGTTGACGCTGATGAAATACGTGTGTGTGTGTGTTTGTGTGTGCACGTGCGCACGCGCTGGTACTTACCATTTCTGTTCATTTGGTTAGATATTAGTGTAGAGGGAATTTTTTTTTTCAACTTTGCCAAGCAGTTAGCCTGAGTTATTTTTTAAGGTTTTCTTTGAATCAGAAATTCTGTCAAAACTTCATGGAATATGAATTACTTTGTCTCTTTCCTCTTTTAATTTATATTTTCATGTATTCCATATAACATAGTGATGGTCCAAACTACACGTAATGTGCATTGAGTTTCTACTTTAAAAGAAGATCAAAATTCTTTTTCTTAGAAAGGTATCATACTAGGCACCAAGTCCCATTTCTAGGAAAGGGAAATGATGTCATAGCTTAGACGAAGGAGACATTACTATTAAGTAAAGATGAGGTCATGATGAACACTGAAAAGGACTTCCAGTCCCAGACATACAGACAGAAGACTCAAATGGAAGATAAATGCCAAAAATGAGCTACATAGATTTTGATAAACACAGTAAATAGTGGTGACTAGAGTATGTAATAGATCATATCTTAAAAGGTGAATAGTTTTTCCACATGTCATTCATTTAGGGATACAAAAAGAAAAAGAGAAAAAGAAACGGTTAAAAAAAATGAGCCAAACTTCCAACTACTGGCTTCTAGCCAGGAAAACTTCATAAGAGATGAAAGCCGGCTTCATCATTATTCATTCGGCAAAATAATCCACGCTTAAACGAATGACTTTTATATGTGCAGCATGTGCTATGTATTTTGCTTCCAGGTGGAGCCTGTTCCAGCCCTTTTTGTGGTTTCATTTGCTGTAGTTGATCCAACTTGAAAATGAGTTGGAATCCTGGTGACCTACCTTGGCAGGATCTGCTGTCTGAGGCTGGAGTGAAGCCCATCTCACACTCACAGCGATATGCACCCGGGACGTTGAGGCACTGTCCGTTTTCACAGAGATTTATGTTTTCTGCACACTCATCAACATCTGTGCAAGAAGCAAATTACATCTCTATTAAGTTCCAAATTTCAGGACACATTTTTTCCTTGCTCTATGACTAAATCAATTTTTTTACTGACTAGACTTACTGATCGTTAACATGAAACAATTAATCACATTCATCTAAATATGGGTCTACAATCTGATAGAGATATTTAACCTACACCCTAACATTCAATGGTAATATGCTTAATACGAGAAAGGCAGATGTCTCTCATATTTGTTTTAGGTGGTCTTTAATGCCAATTTGATGTATCAGTATTATATCAGCATCATTTAGATATGACCAAGAACACTGGAATGAATCTTAAAATGGTGTTCATTCATTTAAAAATGTTAAAGTGTTAGAACAAACAACAAGTTCTTTCCCTATTCCAAGTATTTTGAAGAAAATTAGGGATACTATGAAAATGTAGAAAATTTCTCTCGTGTCATTACAATCTCATGAAAATACTCCTATCTTAATTATGTAAACAAGCATTACTCAAGAACCTTAAAGATAATTTATTTAATTCTAGCAAGCAGAAAAAGGGGGAGAGGACAGAAATCAATGTTTACGGAGGGCCTAAAATATTTGCCTAGTTGTGTGTCAGTTGCCTGCTGTGCAGTTTTTCACTGAGTTCACCAATCCTGTGGGGTTTACAAGAGGAAGAACCTGATGCTAAGGGTGGTCAAGTGAGCTGTGAGAGTCACTCTGAGCTAATGTGGAGCTGAGCCGGGAGCTGACAGCAGGTGTATCTGACGCCAAAGCTATGCTCTTTCCTTGACTCCACAGTGCAGAGAAATGCTAGGGAAGATGCAACATCCCAGGCTCAAAAGTAATAAACCTTTAAAGTGGAATAAACGTGTTTTCTTAAAGAGGCATTTGAAAATGATGAGTCTGCATTTTTGACACCAATTAAAAAAAATTAGAGTTTATCTTTTAATTATGGGTTTCAAGTGTGGGCTGAAAATAAACCGAGAAACACCTATCTTGAAAACTGAAAAGTATCCAACATTATGTCCAGCAAAATGATCTAGTGTTATATATGCATATAATGAGAGGATGTTTTATCCTCAAGAAATACAGAATGAATAAAACTGCAGCTAATTGGTGATGGTCAGTTTTGTACCCCATGAATACGCATAACCAATAAAATAAAATAAAATAAAATTGCAGCTAATATTTACCGAACTCTTATGATGTATTTTTCTAAGTCCTTTACTTGTATTATTCCATTTAATCCTTTGCTTATCATGTGATAAGCTACTGAGACTCTGCTACACTCAATAAATAGGAGTAATTGTGTAAGTCACACATTCTCCCTTAAAAAGCTGCATAGTTTTCCCATATCATTCCTCTAGTGATAAAAAATGGTATTATTATCACTATGTCTATTTTAAAACAGGGAAACTAAGAGCAGACAGGTTAAGAACTACTCTAAGGTTACATGAGCAGGAAGCAGCACAGGCAAGATTTTAATCCAGGTGGTCTCACCCAAACAAAGCCTATGTTTCTAAACCATTATGGTATTAATGAATAAGAGAAAATGATAGTTATTAACAATACATGATTGTAATAAATGTTATTATTTTAAAACTTCCTCCAATGTTTTGGAAAATCATTCAGGTTTTTGTGTTTAATGTAAGAGGAAGATACATTTT